GTACCTCTCCCGCCTGCGTTCTAGGCAATACAAGTTGAGGAACTTCAAGCGTTCCCAGTAATTGAGGTGTTTTATTGCAGTTATGTGTGCTGTGAAGGTTCTCTGTGCATTTTCTAGGTCTACAATTTCACCTGTCTAGAAAGAAGCTGTTAGTGTGCAGCAATATTCCAGCCCAGATAGAAGAAATGACCTGAAGAGTGTCATCATGGGCTTGGCATCCCTGGTTTTGAAGGTTCTTATTATCCATTCTGTCATTTTTCTAGCAGATGCGATTGATACAATGTTATGGTCCTTGAAGGTGAGATCCTATGACAAGATCACTCTCAGGTCTTTGACGTTAGTTTTTCGTTCTATTGTGTGGTTGGAATTTGTTTTATACTCCGATGTAGTTCTAATTTCCTCGTGTTTTCCATATCGGAGTAGTTGAAATTTCTCATATTTGAACTTCATATTGTTTTCTGCGGCCCATCTAAAGATTTTGTTGATGTCCGCCTGGAGTCTTGCAGTGTCTGCAACGGAAGACACTGTCATGCAAATTCGGGTGTCATCTGCAAAAGAAGACACGGTGCTGTGGCTTACATCTCTGTGTCAGATATGAGGATGAGGAACAGGATGGGAGCGAGTACTGTGCCTTGTGAAACAAAGCTTTTCACCGTAGCCGCCTCAGATTTTACTCTGTTTACTGCTACTCTTTGTGTTCTATTTGTTAGGAAATTATAGATCCATCTACCAACTTTTCCTGTTCTTCCTTTATCACTCATTTTGTGTGCTGTTTCAACATGGTCACACTTATTCTTACATTTACTGGGTGAATGACACTTTGTGCATTATGGATCAGCTTTATAGCAGTAGGTAAAACGGACTTATGGCTCACTAAATGGTGAGCAGTTTGATCAGGAGCCACGAGTATAGATCGCTGTTCACCACAACACAACTGATTTGAAAGAAACATGTGCAACACTTGGGTATCTTTATTTCCGAATGTTTCCCCTATATATAAGTATTTTTCAGTCGAATACAAGGCTGCAGATTGTAGTATTTCTGACGAAATTAGTCCGTCACCCTTGAAAGGAGGTGATCAATCCATTAGGAAAGGCGCACTACCAAAACTGTATATATAAGAAGAGAAGTGAGGTGAAGCAGCTGAAGGTGAGGTCACAGGTGAGTATGGCCTAGTAGTCGAAGTAGGTCATTCTAAAAAATTGTTAAGTAAATGATTTACAGAAGACTTTCATTATGCCATTATGTTGCTGTGTTAAACAAGAATCGTATATACCGACAAGTTAATGAATAGAGTGTATGTGATACACCTTGATCAATCACCAAATCCTTCACTGGAACAGCAGTTTGACTAGTATGTTGGCATCCACTCCCCTCACGATCTTAATCACAGGTGATCATATTGTGTCTCCACACTGGGGTCTCACAAGATCCTCAACAAAGACGAAGGTATCACTGTAGGTCCCCTCAAAGGTGGTTCCTTGACTCTGGTGAGGGGCTCTGGATCTAGGGAATTGGATCTGTGTTCAGGTTCCCTGAATTGAGCCTGAATACCTTCCATCCGGCACCCCCCCCCTCCCCCACATACGCTGTATAACTCTACAGGTTTAGCGCTCCTCCTATGATTATAATAAACACTGTAGGTGTCAGCGACGACATTTTGTCACCCGAACATATTAGACGACATAGTTGTAATCATTAAGTGTTCCTGAAAGCTGTTTATTAGAAAATAAGGAAAATAAAAAATGACCAATATAAATCTAGGTCGAGTACTGGTAGATAACGACTCCAAAGTAACCTGAAACCCTAACTATTGTTGAGGCCTCTTGCTTAGCGAGATGAACTGTTTTACAGATGAGGTAAGTATTCTACTAGCATAAACCATTGGCTATTGTTTGGCATTTATCATTGATATTAGACTGCACTGGTACCAACTTGGTTGACATCAGTAGTCAAATTGAACTCTTTGGTAAAGTCAAGGAATTTAAGAACAAGTGACGTTAATTTGTAATAATGATCAGTGAACTCTATCTAGATCAATGAAGTATTGTACTGCATGGGCAGACATCGTCTAGGGAACCTCTGAGTATCAGTAAGTTTTGGTCATCCATTGCAATTTTGTTCTGAGTCACAACTGCCCCCAGACACTTAATTTACTTCTTCACAAACTGACACTTAACTGACTTGACACCAGGTTACGTTTCAACGAATTTACCCAGTAATTTATCAAGCTTGCAAGATGTGATGATCAGACTTACATTTCCGTCAAGATGTACCATGAATGTATTACCTAAAAGCCGATTTATTGTCGTCGTAATAAATTTGGGAAATACAAGTGGAGTTGGCCATAATCCAATAAATTTACAATAGAACTGGGAGTATAACCAATGAGAGTCAGAAACGATGTCAACTCCCTGCATTGCTTTTCAAGCAGGAATTACCAGAATCTTGTTGAGCACGAGCAGACGGATTCGGTAAGAAAAAGTTCTTCCATTAAATATCCAGTAATTGGTCAAAGGATACATGGTAACATCTTTCTATTAAATATTAAGCTGAGAAGAGTATTTCATGGGAAATTCGATTCCTTTATAACCTCCTGAGCGAGCACAGTCAAGATGAAGTGCTCCACAAAGACGTGTTGTGTATGTTATAATTGGTATATGGGTTCATAAATTGATTTCATCCCCTTCTCCCATGGGATACAATGAGTGATGTGGAGTACGCCCCATAGGTTCACCCTTAAGTGACTTCTTAAGGTTGTCAATGATGCCTATCTCTCAAGCATCATTGAAAATCTTAAGAAGTCAAAAGACCTAGTGTAAGTACTCTGTTGGGGCTAAGTTGTCTTCTAACAATAAATAACAAAAAGGCACAATACCGTGACTGGAACGATACACAAATAACCCGCACATAAAAGAGAGAAGCTTACGACGACGTTTCGGTCCGACTTGGACCATTGACAAAGTGTGACTTTGTCAATGGTCCAAGTCGGACCGAAACGTCGTCGTAAGCTTCTCTCTTTTATGTGCGGGTTATTTGTGTATTGTCTTCTAACACTGTGAGTGGTAGGTTGAGCAGAGAATTCGTTTGTAAGAACAGCACCTAAAAGCTGATTTCCTGACACGTTGCAACCTCCACCCTCACCGGGAGAAGATATTGGATGACCTCAACGAGCAAGGTTGAAATTTCTACTGGGAACTTTACCAACAAGACTTTAATCCTTCCATGACATATAGTGTGTAACGATGGTAATATAAACATACCCTTGAACTTACACTAGTCACTTTTGACCAGCTCTTCTGTGCCAGAAATGGCATGTACCCCAGGGATGGGGTTCGCTTGTCTAGGTTTGGGGTGGGGGACTGACCAGTGCAGTGGAGGGAGCAGTTAGAGACTTTAAACCAGAAACAGTGTTATGGGTTTTGGAGAAAAAAACAATGAAATATGATACAACAGAATAAGGTAAGATGAATTCTCAGTGTAACGATATTGTGAGTTTTAGGGAAGCCAGTTAGAGGCAAAATGAGGTAGAGTTATTGGTGAATATTGGAAAACGAGTGGCACTAGGTGATAAGTGCAGTAATAGAGATAGTGGATGAACAGGAATGAACAGGGAGAGAATTGAGAAGAGAGGATTTCTAAATATATTATACAAATAGTCATAGCGCTAGAAACAAGATGGACGAGTTGAGATTAGTTGCAAGTGTTGGTAACATTGACGTATTTGCCATAAATGGGACGTGATTTAACATGAAGAATCAGGACATGCTTGCTGAATGTCACATTCAGCATCTTAAGTTATTCCACGTTGATAGAAGTTATGGGAAGAGAGGCAGTGTGGCATTATATGTTAAAGAACATTTAAATTGCTGCATAAAAGTGGGTATTAAGACTGAAAGAACACACACAGTCTGGGTAGAATTATCGGAAGGGCATGAAAAATTAGTTTTAGGTGTGATTTACCGTCCCCCAAACTTGGATAGGGACCAAGGAAGACTACTTTAAAAAAAATTAAGGCAAGGAGGCTTTAACTTTAGTCAAACTGATTGGAATTCGTTGACTTGAATCTTGAGTCAAGCGACTTCCGGGAGGTAGTTCAAGATTGTTTTTGGGCAGTTCATGACACAACCACTACCTACACAACACAATAACTTTAACTTATAAAGTGCTGCTAAGCACATACACCTCACCAGGCATTACACTTGCCAGACGTTACAGACATTTGTAATAATTGTACACTAAAGACCCAAAAATAATTGTCTGAAGATCAGGTTATGTTTAGTCCAATTTTCACTATGAAAAAATTTATGAACAAACGGTACACCACACCTTAATATACATTTGGTAAGCATCTTATGACAAAAATGCCACACCATTCACCCACTATATTCACCTGTTCAAACATACTCTTGCACACATATGCATACACTTATACATACATCTATGTATATTCCCATACAGATGCACACATATATACATACACACGCACCTGCATGTTTATGTAAACATGCGTTTCCACCTCTGTCCCTATCATAGCCAAGGAAATACACCTTAAAACAATGATGTCATACAAACAGTGAACTTCGCTTCTCCTCACGCACTCTTCCATCATATTACTCAATATTAATACCACACAGTACATGCTTACCCACTCACACCCACACACCCCTGTATGGGAGGCTAGCCCGTTGGTTCCCAGTGACCTACAAATTCCATAAATCACGCAGCCGAAAATTCTGATAACCCTCTGTAATTTCACATAGAGTAAATATCAGAATGTGCTTTCTGTTTAAGATATTTTACTTTAAGCATAAATTTCAATATTTTGTTGGATTATTTTACTTTCAGTAGAATAAATTCCAGTATCTAGATTTTGTGTTGTTGTTCTGTTAGTATGGACCACAGGGGTTAAGTGCTTGTCGATAATTAAAAGAAAATGCTTTTATTATAGTAAATCTCGGCACAGTTTCCACTTAGTAATTGAAACTTGCCTCCCACAGTACAACGCCGTCGGCAGGTACGAGAATCTGCAGCAAGAGATGAACGCTTCCTTGCACTGGCTTAAGGCTGGTGTGTTTGCTGACAGGTTTCCCTCATCAGACCGACCCTTCCACGCGGCTGAGCTCCGCCAAGAGTACCTGCAGCGCCTCACCTCTGAGGACAAGTTACGCTTCCTTCGGACATATCTACTCGACTTTCTCCTTTTTGGATATGACATGCCTTAACGGAACATGTCTTGCGTGTAACAACGTATTACTACTTCCTTGTATGTTAAAGCTAATTTTCATCTTTTAACTTGATGTTTTGTACATTTCATCATGCTATAATTTACGTTAATGGTTTTCAGTTCATGTGAACTAATTCTTCTCGAGGAAAAGGTAAATTCATTATGTACATTTACGTAAGCGCCTTTTAACCTTTCTTTTTAAACATAACTGCTTTTAATTAATATTATCTTTAGTTGTTAAACTGACTATTTAAGATTTTCTGTCGTTTGTAACAAGATCATTTTTAATTAAAATAATCACAAGATCGATATGCATCGTGTTCAGTAATAACGTAAACGTCTCTCGTCTTCACAAGACCGCCTTTTGTCTCAGCCTTATATGATCGTTTGTATATTTAACTTAATCATAGATTTCAGTATCACATTGCCTGTTACTCTCTGGGTTGGTTGTGATGTAACCAGAATAACTGTCTTGTGCTTCTCCGCACACAGTATACTGTCACATTAACATTCTCGAGGAAATGTACTTTGTTACATTTTCCCTCCTACTCAGGCTTAAAAATGTTTACCCATCATGGAAAGCAATAACTTTTTAAAGCTAATTAGTATATGAAATACGGCAAGAAAAGGATGAAGTTATAAATGTCGGGTTGTGTTGGAGTATGTGGTGTTAGGTGTGTAGGAAGAATATTTCTCAACACAGTCTTTGAAACACAGGAAAGAAATGATATATTCCGAGCTCCTTGAGATATTACCAATCTAAGATGCTTTCGTTTTTATGTTGCTATATAAGTGATAATCAATATAAATATATTATTTCTTTATCAATACCCACACTTTTGTAAAGAGAGCTTAACTAATTCACTATACGTGTATATAATGTGTCGATATTGCTTATATGGTATGGACATAAAAATCACTGATAAACCATACCACGGGTGGGGATAGAACCCGCGATCAGAGAGTCTCAAAACTCCAGACTCACCCGTGGTATGGTTTGTTTGCAATCGTGTCATTACGATTTCGTGAGTCAAATCACTGATATTAAGCTCTTACGGTGTTGTTAGCTCGCGACCTGAACACAAGGGTTATTAAAACTTATTCCATCAAGCTGTCACAACTCAGTTATTGGTTTCATATGTTATCGCTTTCGAACGCAAAAAAAAAAAATGGTAAAGGACATGCTAGATATTCTAATATAAGAAATCTTCTGACTTTGCCTCAGTGAGGCCCTATAGCACTCCAGACCTTAAAAATATAGAAAATAATTCAGTTATGTATAGTGGATAGAATAACCAAAAACAAACTAGCTGGGCTGTTAAAAAAAAATAAAAAAAAAAACGGAAAAATCGGGTGCGGAGGCAGAATAATTCCTGGTGCCCGCCTTCCCTGGCGTGTGGGAGTAATTTTGCCGCTGGATGATCAAACATGATGTGACGATAATCGTGGAAATGAAGATACTTCGAGCCTGAGCCATAAAGTTAGGCATTAGGGAATTAGGAATTTGTATTTCAATGCATTTAGCAGCTCAATTACTTTAAAATCATGTACAATAACGCACAATATAAATTATTAAGCTTTAGGCCATAGTTTGTAATCATGACGCTACCAGAAGAATTTACCAGCATCTCATTACGCAGGTTATAGAGATGAACTCTACCCAAAACTCTTTCCGATAAACTAGGATATCACCCTAATATGTAAATATGGAGAACTTTAGAATAACTCTAGATATGCTTCATATATTCTAGAACCACTGATTATGTCTCTAATAGAGATAAAATAAATGAATAGTAAATTAATGTTTGCCTGAATAAGGATGGGAATGATCACGGAAGTAAAACTTACTCTGTTATTAGCACATTAAACTCTCTCGTAAAACAATGACACAGATGTGATCCTTAATTTTTATCTGAGTGGACCGGTAAGACATTGGACCGAAGTTCCAGTTAGCCTATCATCTTATGACCTGTCAAGTTTTCAGACAAATGATATATAACCACCATCATCTCGGTATTAGATTGAAAAAGTTCCCTAAGGAAAACGACTCCTCAGTTATATCCTAGTACTAAACATGTCTTATTTCACACTGTGGTATCTGAGGGCATCTCTTATCTAGGACCTAATATAAATCTTACCCATCCTAACTATCTATATTGAAGGCATGGCTTGTTTTCGTCGACATGAATAGTAAGAATATAACCAAGAATTATTTTCCCTTTTGTGCTCTTATTTATAACTCTTATCTATACCTTTTATTTAATGATTTTGGCTCTTAATTACTGCATAGTACAACAATACGTAGACGTAACCTAGCAAGGTGGAAAATACAGTTTTATTGCTTAGTAAAAGCATTGTAGAATTGATGACTTACACTGGAATACGGAGTTGCATATTTTCTATCATATTCCATACGAAGATCTCCATGCATGGAGTTAAGTATGTGGTATTGAATTACTGATAGACATGCATCCCATATATGCCTCAATTCAAGTTATCGCATTTCCGGTCCAACACTTCCCTACTGTGTATTATTATTATTATTATTATTATTATTATTATTATTATTATTATTATTATTTTTATTATTATGTGAGCAAATCACCTTCAGGAGGCATGCAGGGCATTACCTGAATTATTACTTGCAAGTAATTTGGGTGAGGTAAGTGGGCCTTAGGTCACAGCAAGTAGCCTAACTGTAACTCCCTCGATGTCCCCTCCCTACCACTCTCACAAAATGCTAGACCTGACATTAAATGTCAGGCTTCCTGGGTACACGAAAGAAATTGATATTAACACTTACCATTTAATTACTGGGAGACACTTAATGCTGATGGAACACACCCTAACATTACCCTAACAGCTAGGATTTATGATGCCCAATGCCAAAAACTACTGTACATTATGGGTAAGCGTCACTTAGCTAAGGTGCATTGTTGAGAAGGATTCATTGAAGTCCTCTATTTTTTCGTCCTGGTTGCCGAATTGTAAGGGTTTTCCACACTATCCCAATTCTTCAGCAGGAAGGTGTCAGTAATTTCTAAATTACGAATTGAGGCCGATATACACGAAATGACCTTCGAGAATGCCTGATTGCATTGCACGATTCGGTCCAGTGTTCGCACATTAAATTCAATATGGCGTCTGTCTCCGGCATCACCCTGCAGCTGTTCTACACTCCCCTCACTCGAAATTTCTCGAATGGGTCAAATCAGCATCATATTTTATTACACAGTTATTATATTATTCATTTATGTTCTACATTTAGAAAATTATGTAAAAAATCCACACCTATGAATACTCATAATGAATAAGATGTGAGATGGACTTTATTTTGTTGGTTATATTAAATATAAGAAACAAAACTGAAGGTGTAATGCAAGTCCCATTATGCCGTAAGAAAAAACAAGTAAAGTTTAGAAGAAAAAGCTGCTCTCATATCTCAGTTTGGTTGTGTTTTACTAAGGAAAATAGTGAACTTTGATTTATTATTGCATTTCTGCGCTGGAACTTTTATCATTAATGAAAATGAAGCCTGTCCATTGTCCATGAAGGAAGGAGTGTAAGAGAAAACATCTGTGAGAATTATCCAAGTCTCTCATCTCCATAAATTTGTCTTGTAGAGTAGTATGGAAACTTAGTGTATCCCTTGGATAAGATGTAGTGGACAGTTTAACTTCTCGTGTACAATTTAATAATAATCACAGGTTGAAAAATTTATTATTTCTTTCACATTTCTGAAAAATTCGTCATTTAAGATGAAGAGCATTTAGCTGAATACTCCAGCAGCCTTATCTAGTACTATAGCTTACATGAGGCTTGAAGATCCTTCCGATCGCTGGCGGCCTTAACGGGTTCCCTAGGTTATCACTACTGCCATGGTTGCCTATATTGTTTAGGTTAGGGCGAAGCTATGGCTTCTGCTGCTGTTGCTGCCAAACACTGTGCCTCTAGCAGGGACCAGGAGGCTACGCTGTGCAGCGAAATATTGGGATGATTACGTAGGGTTTTGACCTTATTTTGCCTCTGAGATGTGCTTATCTTTGCTCCTTATATTTAAAATAAATTTCCTCTTTAATAATAAAATATATATGTAATTTAATCAGCTTGCACTAAAAAAATCTTATTTATTGTCGGCGTATTAATCTTCACTTTATAATAAGAATGTTGACATTATCAGCATCTCTTGAAAGCATTTACGATTCGATATTTTAAGACCACATGAGATGGCGCGTTACAGAGGACATTAACAGCATTATAGTGATGTAATGATTGAAGACTGAATAAGAAACCTTGTTGAGATGCATAATGGGAGACATTCGTTATGTGGATGGCAGACAGTGGCCTGACTGGTTCCCTATATGTACATTATACAGTAGGTAAATATGTTATATGGACGGCAGACAGTGGTTTTAATGTTTCTTTTTATGGCCAATATGAAGTAACTGAGTATATCATTACATAGACAGTAGACAGTAGCTAAATGTCTCCACGATCTCTTGATCCAAGGATCTGGATTTATCGTCCCCTTCCATGGATTGAACTTGAATTCCTGTAATTTCCCAAGCAGTATTTGACTCCTAAGGGTTTAATGTTTTCCCAAACTAAAACAAATAAAAATACATTTTGGACAGCTAGTGCACTGATTAACTTCTTTTATGGGAGACAGTGAACAGACTGTTGTGTTTTTTATATTACTGCGCAAAATGGCTGAATATTTCTATATGGATGATAGAAAGTGGCTCATTATCTCCTTATATAGATGGAATACATTGCCTCAATGTTTCCTTATATGGAAGGCAGAGATTGGCTGTATTTATCTTCCTATAAAGATGGTAACCAGTGCCTGATGTTTCTTTTAACTGACTGAAGGTTGTGTAAGAATGGTATATAATACCGATAAGATGAAATTAAGACACATGTGCAACATCTGGGTATCTTTATTGTAGACGTTTCGCCATCCAGTGGCTTTATCAATACAAATTCTAGGACATAACTTGAAGACAGTAGAACTATGTACAGAAGATGAGGTAATCAGTCCCTCAACCTAGGAGTACGTGCGAAGAGCACCATAGTCGTGGAGATTCTGAAGCAGAAGAAAGGAGCCTGGCGCTTATATAGTAACGTCAAGTGTAGCAGACGAGGGCATAGTCACTGGTAGGCGGGATTCCCCAGTGGAAGTAGGTCCTTCCCAAAGAGATGGGTTAGTTGTAGTAGTAGTTGTCGTAGTCGTGAAGGTTATGTACATGTCCTAAGAATCAAGATTCCATGATGTTGCAGTGTCTGACAAGTTGTGTAAGAATGGTATATAATACCGACAAGATGAAATTAAGACACATGTGCAACATCTGGGTATCTTTATTGTAGACGTTTCGCCATCCAGTGGCTTTATTTTATCTTGTCGGTATTATATACCATTCTTCCACAACTTGTCAGACACTGCAACATCATGGAATCTTGATTCTGAGGACATGTACATAACCTTCACGACTGCGACAACTACTACTACAACTAACCCATCTCTTTGGGAAGGACCTACTTCCACTGGGGAATCCCGCCTACCAGTGACTATGCCCTCGTCTGCTACACCTGACGTTACTATATAGCCCCAGGCTCCATGCTTCTGCTTCAGAATCTCCACGACTATGGTGCTCTTCGCACCTACTCCTAGGTTGAGGGACTGATTACCTCATCTTCTGTACATAGTTCTACTGTCTTCAAGTTATGACCTAGAATTTGTATTGATAAAGCCACTGGATGGCGAAACGTCTACAATAAAGATAACCAGATGTTGCACATATGACTGAAGGTTTTCCCACTGACGGCAGACAATGGACAGATTATCTTCTTATTTTGAAAGATCGAATCAAAGATCATTTCTTTCTGCCTCCCTGAGGGGAGACAGAAATTTGGAGGAAATTTGCTAAGGCCTTACACACTGTTTGGGTTGGGTCAACTTTTGACTCTCCAGGTCAGTTAAGCTTTGGTTCTTGCAGATTTTTAAATTTTCTTAAGGCTTGGGTGTCATCAGCGCATGTGCATGACGAAACAAAGAGCCTTTTTCATATTTTGTAATCTCTGAGGTACTATTTTCGCTAGTTCATGAAATGCGTAGCCTTTCAATTTCAAAAAATAGGTGATAATAAAGTGCCTTTTGTAGGTATTTAAGGGTTTTTATTATCCTTTCTAATATGTTGTAATAATGTGTGTAATATAGATTTTAATGTCTTCATCTTGCTCTCTCTCTAATTCTCCCTCTCCCTCTCCCTCTCCCCCTCTCTCTCTCTCTCTCTCTCTCTCTCTCTCTCTCTCTCTCTCTCTCTCTCTCTCTCTCTCTCTCTCTCTCTCTCTCTCTCTCTCTCTCTCTCGTTCTGCTAGTTTATATTACACTCCCTGTTCATCATATAGACGGTAGAACAAAAATATATAGTTACACCTAGAGCCTAATAACTAGGCGATAAAAAAGCTAAAAAGTAGATAGGGGTATATATATTTACAGTTTATATATTATCTATTTCAAATAATTGTAGGATATTTGGTCAAAATTACTGGTATCATATTTTTGTCAGAAAAGAAAAAAATGAAATAGTATTTAAGACAGAGATCATTTTAATTTAGTTTAATTATAACAAGTTTGATTATAACAAGTTCTTCCGTAAATACTTATCAACATTCAAATCATCATTGTTATTCAAACTTCTAACTTATTTGTTATGACAAATGATACTCAAGTTCATCAATTATTTCTGTCGAAATATTATTTATAATATAATATTGATACAGACGGAATAACGCTATATATTCGACTTCATTTTTCACGACACTTACATTATCTTCATCACATAGAAATACAACAATATGAGACGGAATCCATAGAACCATACATAAATTACTTTTTCTCTATTTAAATATCTATACTTGGCTTGTCCTATTAGCATGTTGCTAGTCAATATTCTATTCAGGGTTATACCACGAAGATGACATTGCGTCAGTAATGATAAAGGAATCTCGCTATCATTAGCATAGTAATGATAAAGGAATCTCGCTATCATTAGCATAGTAATGATGAAGGAATCTTGCTATCATTAGCATAGTAATGATGAAGGAATCTTGCTATCATTAGCATAGTAATGATGAAGGAATCTTGCTATGATTAGCATAGTAATGATGAAGGAATCTTGCTATCATTAGCATAGTAATGATGAAGGAATCTTGCTATCATTAAGATAGTAATGATCAAGGAATCTTGCTATCATTAGCATAGTAATGATCAAGGAATCTTGCTATCATTAGCATAGTAATGATCAAGGAATCTTGCTATCATAGCAAGGTAATGATCAAGGAATCTTGCTATCATTAGCATAGTAATGATCAAGGAATCTTGCTATCATTAGCATAGTAATGATCAAGGAATCTTGTTATCATTAGCATTGTAATGATCAAGGAATCTTGCTATTATTAGCACAGTAATGATCAAGGAATCTTGCTATCATAGCAAGGTAATGATCAAGGAATCTTGCTATCATTAGCATAGTAATGATCAAGGAATCTTGCTATCATTAGCATAGTAATGATCAAGGAATCTTGTTATCATTAGCATTGTAATGATCAAGGAATCTTGCTATCATTAGCACAGTAATGATCAAGGAATCTTGCTATCATTAGCCTAGTAATTATCAAGGAATCTTGCTATCATTAGCAAGGTAATGATCAAGGAATCTTGCTATCATTTAGCGTAGTAATGATCAAAGAATCTTACTTTCATTAGCAAGGTAATGATCAAAGAATCTTGCTATCATTAGGATAGTGATGATCAAGGACTCCTGCTATCATTAGCATAGTAATGATCAAGGAATCTTGCTATCGTTAGCATAGTAATGATCAAGGAATCTTGCTATCATTAGCATAGTAATGATTCAAGGAATCTTGCTATCATTAGCATAGTAATGATCAAGGAATCTTGCTATCATTAGCATAGTAATGATCAAGGAATCTTGCTATCATTAGCATAGTAATGATCAAGGAATCTTGCTATCATTAGCATAGTAATGATCAAGGAATCTTGCTATCATTAGCATAGTAATGATCAAGGAATCTTGCTATCGTTAGCATAGCAATGATCAAGGAATCTTGCTATCATTAGCATAGTAATGATCAAGGAATCTTGCTATCATTAGCACAGTAATGATCAAGGAATCTTGCTATCATTAGCATAGTAATGATCAAGGAATCTTGCTATCATTAGCATAGTAATGATCAAGGAATCTTGCTATCATTAGCATAGTAATGATCAAGGAATCTTGCTATCATTAGCATAGTAATGATCAAGGAATCTTGCTATCATTAGCATAGTAATGATCAAGGAATCTTGCTATCATTAGCATGGTAAACATTTCAGTTTGTGACTCAGAAGTTCAATTGTTATTTGTTATTTATACGTCAGCTTGCTGTCTATAATTGTTATCTAGGAAAGTTGCAAATAAGAGCAGAAGCAGCACTGCCAACGTTTATAATTTATATTTTCTTACTCTAAGTGGAATATTCTCACTATCCGAGAGACGGTGGGATAGGCGGATATAAGTGTTTTTTTTTTTTTTAAATATCATAGTGACAACTAGCATGTGAAGTATGTGAGCAATAATAGCATTAACGGATAAAGGAGATTTAGTGATAGTTTTCAATGAAACTGAGTAATCAGGCAAAAATATGTACAGCTAAGAAACGTGTGCGTTGTTGAGGGCCAGACTGGATACTGGCGATTTTTCTCGCAAATTCGAAAAGGAATGCTTGGATATAGTGTGCGAATTGTGAGGTTAATGCGTATGGTTTAACGAAGAGATGAGGACGATAAACTTGGTATTGAGTTGTAAGTTAATGATCTTGTCAGACTACGGGGTGAAAATTATATTCTACTTGTTTAAAATAAAAAATATAAGTTTGGGAAAAACTGAAAACAAGTGCTGATGTAAACATCCACACCAGAAGCATATGTGAACGGTGTAGACACTGGCAACATGCACCAGTAAACACCATACACACAAATAATATACACACAAACAATATTGGCACAAACAACATGCACACACAAATAATAAGGAAACAAACAATATGCACACAGAAACACAAACAATATGCACACAGAAACACAAACAATATGAACACAGAAACACAAACAAAATGCACAAAAACACAAACAATATGCACAGAAACACAAGCAATATGCACAGAAACACAAACAATATGCACAGAAACACAAACAATATGCACAGAAACACAAGCAATATGCACAGAAACACAAACAATATGCACAGAAACACAAACAATATGCACAGAAACACAAACAATATGCACAGAAACACAAACAATATGCACAGAAACACAAACAATATGCACAGAAACACAAACAATATGCACAGAAACACAAGCAATATGCACAGAAACACAAACAATATGCACAGAAACACAAACAATATGCACAGAAGCACAAACAATATGCACAGATCAAGGACACCTCCATAGATATGTGTGGGTTCAAGGTCACCTACAATTTGCACATTATCATGACTGTTTAAGAGTGACAACAGTTTATTACCATTACGATTACCAAACTGAGAGTTTCCAATGCTTTTGTGTCTTGCATTATAATCGCCAGTAATAAGAGTAGGTTCAGAATGAGCACAAGTTGGGAGCTCCAAGTAATTAAACTTATCAGCAGAAGCATACAAGTTAAATATGTTGAGAGCAGAGTTCCCAATATAAATCCTGACACCGTGATACTGTAGCCCCTCTGTTTTCTTATGTGCAAGAAGTTGATGGGGAAGTGATTTTTTAATATATAGAACACAAGAGTTAGTAGATTTGAGGTTATATGCAACAAATGATGGCAATTTAGGGGGTTGGGATTTTTCAGGGACTCTGCACTCTTGTAGACACACAATATCAATATATTCAGTAGTTACTTTATGGTGAAGGTCAGAAAATCTTTTTCTAAGTGACGCAAT